CTTTTCGCTGCCTGAGATGGGGCAGTGATGGGAACAGCCATCTCCATGCTCGGGCTGCTCCCTGCGCTCCTAACGCAGCGCTGAGCACAGCTGGGGAGGGATGCCCCGGCCCTGGGGATACGGGGGGTGCCCCACACGTGCCAGCTCCAGACCCCACGGGCTGCTCCCCTCGCATCACCACTCACCTCGGCCTTCTCCAGCTTGCTCTGGGCCTCCACCTGCGCCACGATCTCGTTCATGTTGGTCTCCAGCACCATGCCGCCTATCACCACCTCCTGCAAGATGTGGTGAACCTGCGAGGAAAGGGGAGGGAAGGATGAGAACCCAGCCCAGCTCATGGACCGGCTGGGGGCGGGTGCCTGCAGGCTGGCATGGAAGCACATCGGGGCTGGCACTTCCCCGAGAGACGCAAACCCAGCCCTGTCCTCCCCCCAGCCCGCACAGCCCCGGCAGCCCAGAGAGCAAGAGGGCGGCCGTGGTCCTCAGCACAGGGGGCACCCAGCAGCCCCATTTACTGCTTGTACCCCTGCTCTAGTGGCCACCTACCACAGAGGCCAGAGCAAACATCACCCACCGGGCATGGGGCAGCCCCCAGAGAGGCCAGGTCCAACCCGGCCGGCTGGCGCACCCCAGCTGCACCATCTCCAACACCTCACCTGAAGTTTGATCCCTCCCTGGGCTGGGACCCGGGTCGCAGACGGGAACAGCTCCCTGCCTAGAGAGCGTGCTGGGGAGGAGCCCGCAGGGCAGCAGAGCCCCCAGGGCCTCCCTGGGACAGGGACACTTCTCCTCAGGACCAGTTCCTTCTGCCCGGAAAGCCAGGGCCAGAGCCCAACACCTTTGCTTTCTCTTAGGAAAGACGAGAGTGTGACACAGGCACCGACGAAGCCCAAACCCGCTAAGGGAGCCTGCTCCCCTTCCCCAGGGTCCGCCCGGGCCCAGGGACACACAGAGCCGTCTCAAGGTGGCGAGTGAGCTGCTCGCCCTGCCAGCCCCCACCGGGGGGGCCGGG